TACCTCTTGAATGTCAAAATTTTGCTCTATATTTGCACTATTAACTTTTTTGTAAAGTAGCTCAAAGGTCAAGGGTCACGAGGTCGGTAACAATTGCAATTCACAAAAGCCAAGCAATATATGTGGAAATATCAAGTCCATATCTCTTACAGGTCTTGAAATACAAGGTGTGACATTCGGACAGATAGACAGACGGACAGACAGAGAAAACAGACGCCGGGTAAAGTAATTCCCAAGTGGTCTGCAGGCGACACAAGAAGAAGACAACGATTTGCAGTCAATTTCATAAATGTTCTAAGCAATACACCAGAGATGGGACCAGGTATCGGGTGAGGGGTTAGGGGATTTTGTGAGGACTTAGCATTCCCTGTCGCCGTGAACCCTCAGTATTTATCAGGCAAACAGAATTTTCCGTATTCAGAATTAATATAAAACAATGGCTTAACAATTTATGTACAACATGTCTGCCCAATTTCGAACCAACGGTATTAGGTTGTATTTGCAAACAAGGTCATAAAAACGACGAAAGAATACTTAAATCGAGTAGACTGCGTGGAGCAGTGGTTAGAATGTTTGCTCTAAAATTGCGGAACAAGGTGCTTATCCTTTAGTTACGTCGCGGGTTCGTATCCACTGTTTGACGTGGAGACCGGTCCTTCGGATGAGACCGTAAAAACCGAGGTTCCGTTTCGCAGTAGGTGCTGGCACGAAAAATATCCCTCACTAATCAAAGGCCGTATGTGCCGAGTAAAGGTCTAAATTTGCAGCTCTCCACCGACAAGTGGTGGCGTCTGAATATGAGTGAAAATTTCTCGAAGGGACGTTAAAAAGCAAACAAATTTTTAACGAGATTGTATAGCAAGCACTGTAATATCAACACAAACTAAATAATACTGGTATATGAAGAGGTGAGATAAAAAGTCCAATGTCCGACAAAAACTCAATTCACGTAGTTTCCATTACCCTTCCCCCTCCCCCTAAGTATTTGAATTTAGTTTTTTTATCCGATAACTCACCGTAGCATCTTTAAAAGCAGTATTGTGTACATGTAATGGTGGATGATTTTTAGTGTCTATATGTGTTATTAAATCATTGTTATTTATTACAATGTATCCAGTCACGTATTAATATGAATTGTAATATCGTGTTGTGTAACGTTATGCTATTATTATACGTATTATTATTATATTACATTTAACGTCGTGTTCGTTGCCGACTTTGCGCGTGTGTCAAGCCGTTCTGGACAACGTCTGGACGTCTGTTAACAGCCTGACCACCGCGACGTTCAACGGCTAGATCAGTGCTAGCCTGAGATTAGCTGCGAGTAGGTATTCAACATCCCCTAGACTTTTAATATTGTTCATTGTAACTTATTATTTTATTTAATAAACCCTTGTTAACTTTTATAAATGTGTTGCTCATTGTAAATCACTGAATCTGGATTTATATGGAAACGTGCAGGTTTCCCGTTACAATTGTCAAGAATAGCAATATATCGTGGATATCTTTAAGACTGACAACATTGGCCGAGAATACACTGAATGTACATGTATCATTTGCTTTTATCAATTTATTTTAAATTCAACATAACTTTTCCTGGTTGTTATCGGTTCTGTGCAATGCTGTGTTATGTACGGTATAGGCGATAATATTTAGAATATAATTAACAATGGAGTAGTAACTAATATTGTAAACATGAAATCATTACTTTTTTAAGACTGCATTTAGACAAATTATTCCATTCTGTTCATACGAATATTGTTTTGATAAATACATTCATGCATACCAATATGCATAAATTTCGAATCTTTTTGTGTCTCTTTTTTCGATCAGTGGCGAAGCCTTTTCTTAAAACAGTAAGGTATTTTCCTATAGTAATTTTACAAAATTAAAGTATTTTAAGCAAAAATGTATCACAGCAATGTATTCAACTGCATGCCGCGGCCTACGAGCTGGTATACATGTAACAGATGTACATGTGCGACTTTTGGTTTTTTAACTCACCTGGGCCGAAGCCTCAAGTGAGCTTTTCTGATCAAAATTTGTCCGTTGTCTGTCGTCGTTATTGTTGTTGTCGTAAACCTTTTACAATTTCATCTTCTTCTCCAGAACCACTGGGACAATTTAAACCAAATTTGGCACAAAGTATCCTTGGGTAAAGGGAATTCAAGTTTCTTCAAATGAAGGCATACACCCTTTTCCAAAGGAGATAATTAAGAAAAAGTGGGTGGGGTCATTTAAAAATCTTCTCAAGGACCACTGGGGCAGAAAAGATAGAACTTAAGTGAAAGCTTCCTGACACAGTGTAGATTTAATTTTGTTCAAATCATGACCCCTGGCGGTAGGGTGGGGTCACAATGAGCGAACAAATTTTTACTTAAGAAAACATACTAGGAAAAATCTTTAAAAATCTTTTTTCCAAGAACAGCAAAGCCGTGATTGGTCCTACATGTATTTATATGGAAACATCCTCGGGAAGTGTGAATTCAAGTTTGTTCAAATCATGACCCCTGGGGTAGGGAGGAGCCACAATGGGCGATCAAAGTTTTACTTAGGTATACATAGGAAAAATCTTTAAAAATCTTCATCTCCAGAACAGCAAAGCTATGATTAGACATATTTATACGGAAGCATCCTTGAGTAGTTTACATTCAAGTTTGTTAAAAGCATGACCCTAAGGGGTAGGGAGGAGCCATAATTAGTGAATAAAGTTTTACATGGGAATACATTGGATAAATCATTAAAAATGGTCTTCCCAAGAATAGCAAATCTATGATTAGTCTTGTTAACTCAAAAGCATCCTCAGGTAGGGTAGATTTAAGTTCGTTCAAATCGTGTTCCCCGGGGGTAGGGCGGACCACAATAGAAGATCTTACATATAGAAAAAATCTTCTAAAGTCATGATTATTCAAAGAAATATAGAAGCATCCTCAGTTAGTGTAAATTCAAGTGTGAACAAATCATGCCCCTTTCCACGGGGGTGGGGAGGGGGGGGGAGGGGAGTATTTGCTTTCACATACATGTATACATTATTTTTTCAAAACAAAAGTTTCTGCTTTTTCCTAGCCAATGTACTCATGTGTTCGATGTAGCCAATGGACCTTTTATTTAAATCGCAATTGATAATGAATGCATTGTTTCTGTCGTACGGGTCGCTAAAAATTTAATTTTCCAATATATAGAATGTCGTTTTTTGACTTCATTAATCTACATGTACATTTTTGTGTATAATAGCCTATTTTGTGTGTAATAGCCTACTCAGTTTATTGCTAGCGCCCAAGAGCGCTAGCAACTACGTTAGTCTTTTTTTTTTACTGGAAAACGCATGCTCGACTTCTTGGTAGGGCATTCTGGGTATACAACTGTAGATAAACTGTACCATGCCAATTTTCTTTTTTTGTTTTATAATCTGAAAATACATGTGATTTGAAGTTTCGTGTTTTCTTGTCTAATTAGTACATGATTGTTTAAAAAGTTACAGTAACTTATGTCTTTGAATTCCGAGACTGTAGAGATCAGTTATTTCTAGAATTATAATAAATATAACTACCTTTCTGGATCTTTTTGGCAAGCTCGGAAAACAACCTCGGATATGTTTTCCGAGCTTGCCCAAGAAGATGAGATTGCTACAAAACAGTACATCACTGCATGGAATATTTCAAACTAGGTGTTCATTGGTTCTTCATATCTCTTATTTTGCACCTCAAAATTGAAATTACAGTAAACTACAGAATGCATAAAATGCAGTTATATGTAATGAGTCATGCCATTGCCGATGTGAAGCCCACATCAGACTCACCATTCTGAATTGAATCCCCCAACACCACCCATGCAGTGCATCACTGTGCCTTCCTATTTATAAATTAATCGATTCAGCAACTTAAATTTAACCAAGGTTCATATATCTACTTCTGTGTTTTATTATGGCTACAGCGCTAGTTTAGCTATCTTTTTTTAATATGAGCTTGTCTTCTTTCATCTATAGTGAACTTAACTATTACTCTATGTTGAAGTTCTGAAAAAAGTTCAATTTTAAAATTAGCTCCTGAGGGATTTGCCCCCCCCCCCCCTTTCATCTATAGTGAACTTAACCATTACTCTATGTTGAAGTTCTGAAAAAAAGTTCAATTTTAAAATTTGCTCCTGAGGGATTTGCCCCCCCCCCCCCTTGAGTTATTATGCCTTATACATGTACATGTAGGCTACTGATGACTGTAAACTCTCTCTCTCTCTCTCTCTCTCTCTCTATATATATATATATATATATATATACATTCTTTATATACATCTCAGTAATTTATTCCCTGTTGATTAATTAGGAAAGCAAGTTAATTATCGTCATTGATTTCAATACATTAGATTCTGAAACTGGTAAAAAGTACAATTTGAAATCGACCAAGGTTAAGAGTTATTAAACTATGGTTCAAATTCTACTTTTTTTAATTGATTGATTTATTTATTTCTTGGAAGTTCAAAGTTAATCCAAAAATTAGGTTTCACCACTCTCGCGTGAGGTTATAGGTTTTTTGCACAATCTTCCATTAATTAAACTTTGCACCCGGTAGAAATACATTTTTTTTGAGGAAATCAAGGTTTTTTATTCGATCATTCCGATAAAAATATGGTTAAGTAAAATAATATAAAAACATTTTATATATGTTTTCTATAGTTAATCAAATTTTTTTTCATAGCAATAAAATGTATTTTTTATGTCGATATTTACATGTAAATGTACTGTTGTTTGCCTGGCATCTTGAAAAAGGTTTACCACTCATTTTCTGAGATTATTAATTGTATTAAACTATATTAAATCAAAATTAATGCAGTTTTTCTACTTTGAACCATTAACAATTAATGAATAATAGATGTCATCATAAAGTGTTATATGGAATTACCCAAGTGACACAACAATACCGCATTAGTGACCATCACCTTAAACAAGACGGTGTCCAAAACGAAATGGGGACGTCAAATACACCGTAACATTTCGGATGCCAGTTGCGGGTATTATAAAACCTTACTTGTTATTGAACATAACTCGATTAATATTGATTGAATAGTGAACAGGAAAGTGATACTATGGGAGTATGACAAAAGCATTTCCGGCACATACTGTATGTAACACGGACAAGCTCGGCTTCCTTGTTCAGTATGATAAAATAGTTGAACAATATCCACATTAGACACTTGGTCAGATATGGAGGGAAACTTAACACTGGATAGACTACCTGTCAATCTGACTAACTTTTCCTCACTGCAGGAATTAGAATGGGAGGATTTTTTAACCAATGATATTCCCATTGTTGTCTTTCTTGCTATTCTCTCCGTGGTCGGTACAGTGGGTAACGGACATGCTTTCTGTGTATATTATTTCTGTTACACTTCTTCGAACCATCGGACTTTTGTGGTAGCTCTAGCATTGATAGATTTCATTGCCTGTTTTGTAGTGATACCATTTGAGATTTTTGACATTAGATATAAATATACTTTTACTTCGTCCAATACGTGTAAAACCTTTCGATATATGAATCACTGCGTTGTGATAAGTTCAGGTTTAATGCTTGGTGTGATCGCCATTGAGAGATTTCGGAAAGCCTGTAGACCTTTTCTCAGACAGTTATCACCGAAGGGAGCGTTCTTTGCATGCTTGGGAACTGTCTTTTTTTCTGTTTTAATAAGTATCCCCGTGACTGTTTTCTATGGTTCAGCGGAAAAAGAAGTCGGTGGATTCATTGGCCATAACTGCCAGGCTCTACCCAGCTTCCGGAAAAATCTATTTTACAAAATGTTTAATGGATTTCTACTTTTACTTAGCACTAGTGTATTTGTGATATGCACGGTGGTTTACATATTTGTTGGGCGGGTACTGTACAAACAAATGAAATTCCGTATGGAGGCGCAGCAAACTCACAGAGGAGCGCATCAGTCTATGATTAATAACGATGCCGAGAGTGAGTCCAGCTCAGTTGTGTTGAGTTCTAAAGAAATTTCCTCACAGGGAAGCAGAAAAAGCGCTCTTCGTACACTTAGTTCTGTATCACTTGGCGCTTTGAACAGACTGTCTACAAAACGGAAGAAACTAGGTGTTAGTCGCAGTAGACGAATCACCGTGATGTTTATTGTCGCAACAGGTGTGTCGTACATCGGAGTATTCCCGAATAGCGTGATTTTGATAATCAAGGCTGTGAATTACACTCACTACAAGACTCTATCTGCTAAGCTGGGATTTTTTATTGGACTTCTTTTACGGGGATATTTCCTTAGCAATGTGACAAACCCCATAGTGTATAGCTTTTTTGATGACCGTTTTCGGAGGGAGTGTAAAAAACTATATTCTAAGTTAAAATGTTTAAAACCTTAGTTTCAAACACTTACCAAAAATGAAATTTATGTTTTGTGATAAAATTTATACATTATTTACTTTTTTAAATTAAATTTTATATTTTAAATTTGTTGTCGTATCTTTCAAATAAGAAAAAAAAATGGTGAAAATGTCCCTAAAGCATTTTTTTAAGCTACTATGGTGTACATCATATGAATAATCAGGCAAATTTTATTCATTTTCATAGTGACTTGTTTCATGGTGAAGATGTATCCCTGCCTCTTCTAATACGCAATGCTAGATACTTAGAAGAGGAAAACGCCTATACAATCATTAACAACATTTCAGTTTTCTACATGCAAAACATTGATTCCATGGCATTTCTTCCTGAAAAGCTTAATGACTAATTAAAGATTGTGAATTTCTCCTTAAACATGTATTTTGTCGATTGTTACACGTGCATCTACTTCTAAGATCTTTAAATAACATTAATTCAGGAAACCAATTGCCATGCTCCATTTGTAAACATTCATATTCTCCGACTTTAAATTCTAAAACATATTTCTTGTGAAACCCACATTAAGAATGAAAATAGTTGTAAGATTAGATATTTAAAAAGAATGAGTTACTGAATGGCAAACTTGGATTTCACGAGGCCTATACAATATGTTGTTTATATCTTCTTCCCTATATATAATATTCGTTTTTATTCCATGAATATCCTTCTTGATTTTTTTTATTTTCTGCAACATGTCTACATGTATATATGATATATATATACTAGTATCTTTAATAGTCAGAAAGGTCACTAGATATACATGTGTAAAGTGCAGATTAAATAAAAAATCTTAAATCATTAAATCCCTTCTCTGTAATTTTCAACAAGGATGCGTGTTTGTTTACATTAGGTATTTAGTTGTCCGCAATGAAAGTCAACATCACCATATTTCGCTATAATGACGCGGTTTGAGGGATCCGTCAATATTAGCAATAATAACAAATTATGCAAAAGTAATGTAACCGCGACATACAACGAAAACTGTTTGTGTCCGTACTTTGTCACCACGGGCACCTGTTTGAATTTTTTTTTTTTTCTAGATTATTTTCACATCATGTTCTTCTCTTAAGAATCATTAGAAGTAAAAGTTTCCAGTCCCTACATAGCTTTTTAATTAAATCAATAATATTAACAGTGTTAAGACAGTGATCATCACTAAAGAAAATTCATTAATTGGAAACCTTGTTCATATCAATCTAGCACAGCTACACTGAAACAATGTATATACATGTATTTCAAATATTTATACATGTAATAGAATTCTTCCCAGAAAGATTTGATTGAAACATAATCAATTAATGGGACATGGCAAAAGTAAAAGCAACTTAGACTGCCCGATCCAACGCAAAGAAAATGAACTATAAAAATGATGTACAAAGTAACAAATTACCATACTTAGGTGCAAAGAAAGGGGAAAAGGGAAAGAAATGTGCTATAGATGTAGAAAGAAAGAATGTATATTTTATTAGACTTTTTCACAAACATAATAAAATAATTCAATAGGATTGGGCATAAAATATACCAACTTAAATTGTCCTCTCCAACACAAAAACATGTGATGTTCAAACATATTCAATTTAAAATGCAAGGAAATGGGAATGGTAGGGAATAATGAGTGCAAAAAAAGTACAGTAGGGACAGGGGTTGAAGAAATTACGAATGATTTCGTTATTCATTGTATTTTCTTTTTAATTTTTTTTATATGTAAACTCAGTTTTAACAATGTGAATATTATTTTTGTAACCCAAATTTTGGTCCACAAATAGGATTTTAAAAAATCCTTGTGGTGAGAAAAAAATCTTACTTATTTCATTATAATTCTTATACAAGAAAGAAATGTTCTGTTTTTCATTGATAAATCCTCTAGTTTATTCTTAAATAAATCTGATTTAGGAAAACAGGGGTTTTCGTTCATTATACTACACTAAAATAATCATAGTCAGTCGTGCAAACAAAAATGTCTATTGTATATTCATAATAATTGATAAAGAATACACTGCACAATCGACCCAAACTTATAGGTTTTTACAGTTTAAAACGAGTACAACATGACTAGATAATATCAGCGTTTTCTACATGTGTAATATGATCATCGTTTCATTTCATTTATCTGTTTAGTTAAATAATTATAATGAGCAAAAAGTAACGTTGTCTCATTGTTGAAGATCGTATCTTAAATTTTTTTAAGGGACACAGTGTAGAGAATTAATGTAGATCTGAAAATTGGGGAAACAAGTCCACCATCGGAATCTGTAAAAATATATTCATATTGTGTAAGTAGAGACAAGGGTATACAAAGCTTAGAATATTTGTCAATGCACTTCTTGTTGAGGATGTATTGACATCCCTTTTTCAATGTCGCGTGACTCGTTATCACGAGACCTGGCTATCAACTAGAATTGTCTGCATAATTTGAGAAAATTAGGAAATGAACTTTGAAAAGATCCTCGAATTATAAACCTCAGTCTGGATTTCTTTTAAAAATATTTATATACATGTAATAATAAATATTTTAAAAAGTATTTTTTGTAAGGGCACAAAACAAATAAATAAAAGAGAATGCATAGCTTGCGCATGCTCAATGGCATTGTAAGCAAATCGCAAGTAACAGTCGAATAAAAGTCCTAATTTAAATCACTAATGGACTTTTAGCGTAAAAAAGAAAGATTCAAACTGGAATATAAAAGACAGTAAAGCGGTGTCATTATAAATAAGATCACACGGAGCAGTGGATCACTTGGCATGAACTCCAATCAGAACATAATACAAAATTTTTAACGGTAACTTCACGTGTTTCTCACCTCAGGACATTTCTATTTGGGTAGCTTTTATAGAAATCACGTGGTCCCGTCATTAAATATTGGGAACTTGTCATTACGTGTTTGTTTTTGACCAAGGTTATTCTTATAAAAATCGTTGTAATAACCGAAGAAAACAGTAGTATATTTATTTCTATACATATTCTATACATACATGTATATGTAAGAAAAATATGCATCTAAATCGGACCAAGCGACTGTAACAACCTCATAAACGGATTATCTTTCCCCTTAAGGTCAGACGACACGTTCCTTCAATATCGGCTCTGTATCTCTTCATAATATACAGAAACAATATTCATACTTTTCATTGTCTTATAATATTTGAACTGTTTTCAAAATATCTTTAAAAAATAAATGCATCAGGAACTGTGATATTGGCAATTCTCGAGTTTACCGATAGAGTTATATAGAAAACACCATCCTCTGGTATCTTGTACAAATGCCTGGTAAGGTACCTCAATTTTTTGCGAGGAAGCTGTTAAGGTAGTAATACTTTAATGACAAATTCTTAGGAAAATTTATATATCATTAAAGAAAGTGTCCTCCGTCCTAAAAACTAAAAGTAAAGTGCGAGATGGATTTCCTCGAAACACCAATGAACTTTTCTATTAAGAGAAAAGCTATACATAGGACAAACATTAGTTTATAACTTATGTAATTGTATAAATCTTTAGATCCCAAAGTAAATACATTATATTGAAGCCTCTCAGTTATTAACATTTTATTGAAGGCAGTAAAGTCCGTCGCGCCATTTGCGTGTTAAGGACAGATGATACAAACAGAAAAAAGGATGCCTGGATTGGTACATTGTATATGTTTTTGGAACTATTTTGGTTGTAATTGATGCAAATAATAAATTTCTAAAATATTAAGAAATTGTAAACTTTCTATGATGTTCAAAATTCTACCTTTCTGCAACCATCCTTCTTTATCTATACAAATTTTTGTGACTTTAAATCCCATTTTTGTGTAAATTGGAATGAAAAATTAAAATCTATGCGGTTAAACTTATTCATTTTACTTATAATTATAAACATGACTTAAGTTGTTATTTTCATATATTTGATACAAGTTTGTTTGTGTCATCTGTCCTTAACAGTTACATGACTGTACATTTGCAGGATGCTGGATGTAACAGTGATTGACCGTAGCCGATCCAATAAAATAGTGGAAAGACATCGATACGACATATTGTATATAACAATATTTCTGTCCACTACAATCCCGTGTAATCGCATCAATGTGCATGGCCGTGATATTAATATTTTTTTCTGATTTTCTTATGAACTAACATGAGCCAGTATGCATAATCTGCCATGTTTGCTAGTAATCAATTAAAGTAGTCTATGCTTACTGAATTATATATAAAAATTTCATTGACCAGCAAGTCTGTAAAAATTTGGTTTACCCCAGGTACATGTAGATCTTGTTTTTATTGATGAATAGGCAACATGTATATTGGTCCCTATCCATCAGTGCAGGGAAACTAACCAGCTGCCCGTTGTCGCCACTTTTAAGGTAACTTTCTGTCAATTAATTAGATTTTTTAAAATTTCAAAATAAGTTAAATTATTTTTGTTACGAACATTTTTCATACTATGAAATTACTAACTTTAGTCTAAATAGAGCTAAATCTTCTGATTTTAGAAGTCAAATAGAATAAAATTCGTATACTGTTGTTAAAGTTTATGAGAATAAACTATTGTCATTGTACATGTACGTCTGTCATTATCGTCGGATACCCACGGGAAATCTCGTCTTTTACTCATCACCCGTGGGCAAACTCGACGAAATATCGCCGTACATGTCTGTAATTAGTATGCACAGGTCATTTGATTGGCTGCTGCACAAAGTCGTGATGGCAAATCAACGAATCGCAGTTTACGTTACGTATGTATGCTCGGCAATGACAAACGCTTTTTTCCACACTTTACACACCAATTGCAAACAAATCTACTCAACGATGAATTTAGCAGTTAGAGAAAGGTGCTCCTATATTATTTCTGAATGGTGTTTGATGCCAGTGAACTGTGTGACTTGTCTTTTATTGTTTTGAATTAAACAAAATTCGCACGTTTTAACGGTGTCACGATATGAGCATAATAGTACTAATAACCATATTTTCAAAATTGAAGAGTGCCAACTGTCTGATTGGTTGTCTATAATCG